GCATCAGCTTAGAAACTGGAAACCATGAATTTTAAGCCCTTTGGCACAAAGTTAGCTGGGTGACCTTCAGCCAGTCAGCTTTCCTCAGCCTTAGGAAGGAGACAATGGCAAACCATTTCTGAAAAACCTTGCCCAAAAAAACTGCAGGGACTTGTTCACACACTCTCCAAAAACTGGGCATGACTGAACAAAAGTAGAAAAAAAAAACCCCAGGGAGAGGTAATATATTGTACCACTTCTGTACTGGGTAATAACTAGGAAACCTGAGATAAGAAAACTGGATTCAGATTCTGGTCATCCAGGATGCTTATTTGAATAAATCCTCATTTAGACTTAAAACTCAAATCAGATTGCACATTTACCTTGTGTGTTTGTGGGGGGGGGGGGTGCAATGCCTCAGCGGCTAAAGATGTTAAGTTTGTCAGCTGGAAAGCTGACAGCCCAGGTTCAACATTGTGCAACTGGGTAAACTCCTGTTACTTGCCCCAGCTCCTGCCCACATAGCAGTTCAAAAGCATGCAAATGTGGGTAAATAAATAGGTACCACTTTGGTGGGAAGGTAACAGCATCCCAGGCACCTGGCTACATGACCACAGAAAAAGTCTTCAGACAATGCTGGCTCCTCGGCTAAAAAATGGAGAGGGGTACTGCCCCCTAAACTCGGAGATGACTGGACAGGGGAAACCTTTACCTTTAGTGTCCCTAGAAATGTATATTTACTACCTTCAACACCTTATTTTAATAAATTACATTAGAGGGAAATGCACGTCTATAGAAAGAGGAATCCTAAGTATGTCTAATTGAACACAAACAGAATTTTTGATGCCAGTGGATAAACAGGAAAATGCCTCCTTCAGACTTTGTCACTCAATCTACTGTAGATGGGCTGGAAATTATATGGAAGGACTGGTATGCATAATCTTATAGGAACAATTTGATCACTAGAATTAAAATAATTTAGAGATGTCATGAAACTGTGGCTCACATAAAATAAACATCAGACATTTTCAATTGAATGTTGAATTAGACGAAGAAATTGATACAAAATATAAAGTTCTCTTTAAATTTCATGTTCTCACTATTATAGCTGCGTGGTTTTAGTAGGCGTTTATGGCATTCATTTGCCAAAGGGATGTCAGTGTCTGATGCTACTGGATCACTTATCGTACTAGATGATGTGAATTTTCTCACAAATAGAAATTGATGCCATGGAATACAAATATCAGTAATATTTTTTACTGAAACAAGCAAAACCTCAAGGGCTAAATCTCTCCGCTGTAATTTTGGCACCCAAAATGCAGTACAAATACTTGTGCTATAGCATTACACTGAATATATGTAGGAAAGAGGTGTATTTCTACATGTATCACAAAGAACCTGCTATTATGAATTGCACTGGCTCTGCTGACTCACTGCCAGGCTTATGTTTGCATAGGATTTTCTTTTAAGTCCCAAGAGAAACATGTGTAAAGGCCTAGCCCACACAGTGCGATCAGCACAGAGGATACAAGCGTGTCAGAGGAGACTGTTCAACACTTCATATAAATTTGACTATTATTGCCCCTTCTAGATAAAATACTTTATTCCAAAACTGAGTGATGAAATATTGCACTTCTGGATTGACATAAACGATTCATAGCTAGGATAAATATTTTCAAAACTGGATATGAAGACCTTAATTACAAGTGGACTTTAGGAAATTCTACCTTGCCTTTGAAAATGTATGTTTATCAGCAACTGTAACTTATGAAATTGAGCATTTTCAACAACACTGCAAACTCAAGATTTATTTGCTGTCCAAAGCATAGTATAAAGTAGAGCTGGTTAAAATGTCCACAGAACACATACATAGCCATATAATATATACATTCTATATATGAAGGTAGATATAGAGATTAATACATGTTCAAATAAATACTCCAGATTTGTTGGTGCTGGTAGACATAGTATGAAGTGGATATAGTAGGAACAGCAGAATATATTTTTACCAATACAGCATTCTGGGAACAGGAATGTGGAATCAATTCAGAATTGCCCCATTCACTCAGAGTTTAGACCAGGGGTAGGTAACCTTGGCTCTTTTATGACATAGCTGGCTCAGGAATTCTAGGAGTTGAAGTCCACGAGTCATAAAAGAGCCAAGGTTGCCTACCCCTGGTTTAGACCCTTCCCTACCTCTAGCTTGGATCAAAAACCTTTTCTTTGATTAGCTCCAGGGAGATATTGTAGATGGAGAGAGGTGTAGTCAAAAATGAGGACATTTTATTAGAAAACATAAGCTTTTGTGAGCCAAACCTGATACCATCAGACGAGTCTTATGCCTTTTAGTAAAATGTATTAGTTAAAAAGGTGCTACAAGACTTCTTTTGTTTTTTGACTTTCAATTAGATGGAAAGTCTGGCAAATCAGTGTCTATCACTCCCTGTGCACAATCTTCCTACCTGGTATGATATATCAGGAACTTACTGTTTCCAGAAACCAGAAAGGTTTAGATGATGACGACAATATACTAAATGGTGTGTTTTTATCATGTGTGGATTGCATCTTAATCATGCAGAGGTATGTTACATATAATCCCCAGTTTACAAATCATTCATTTAATGATAGTTCAAATTTACAGGGGCCTTAGAAAAAATAATTTACTATATGTACTTACGACCATTGCACCATTCCTCCATTCACATGTGCTTGGCAACCGGCTTGCATTTATGAGCAGTTGCAGCATCCTGCAATCACATGATACAATTTGTGACCATTTTTGCCAATTTCTTGGGGAGGGGGAACACCCATTGGAGGAGATGGATTCACTTAATAACCTCATGATTCACTTGATGACTGTGTAATTTCCTTAACAATCTCTGTACAAATTGTCATAAAATTGGATCCAATTTGATTTAGAACTATAACTTGCAAAATAAATTCCAGTCCCAATTATGGTCATAAGTCAAAGACTGCCTGCATTCAGAATATCACGTTGCAGTAACTTTTGCTTTAAAAATTCTGTTACATCCTTTTGAATAAATTTTGGGGTTAATTAATAGAACATTCATGACAAAAAGATATTAGTGCCTCCCAATTCCTTTCTCTGGATCTCAGGCAGTTATATCCTCCACAAAGTCATAAAATCAGGGCTACTTGAATAACAATATTTTCTGATTTAATTTAATACATTGATTATGTGACATCAAATTAGTGTCAACTCTTAGCAGCCATATAGATAGATTTTCTCCATGATGCTTTCTCCATAACCTGGTCTTTCAGGTCTTCCAATACTGTACTCATCACCATTGTAACTTAGTCCACCCTCTTCCTATGCTGCCTCTTCATAGTTTAAAGTGTTAGAGGTAATATCATTGCTTGCGCTGTTCTGATCTTTGTATGGCATCTAAATATGTTTTCTAAGGCTTTCATGGCTGCTCTACCAAGTGCTGGTCTGTAGTATATTTCTTGAACTGCTTGTTCTTTTACAATTAATGGTTGATCCTAAAAGGCAGAAGTTATCAACCACTTCGATATCCTTATTGTCAATTCTAAAGATGATTGTTTACCTGTCGTCATTAGCGTGGTCATCTTAATTTTAATTTTAGCCCCACTGTTTCATGGTGCTCCTTGACTTTTCTTACCATAGCTTACAGATCTTTTGCATGTTTGGCTATCATGGTAGTATCATCAGTTTAGCTCAGGTTATTAATGTTTCTTCCTCCAGTTTTAAAATTATGCTTACCTTTCAACCCAACTTTTTAAAAGATATGTTTAACATAAATGTTGAATAAATAAGAGGAGAATATGCAGCCTCAGCTCACTCAATTTAGCACATGCCATTTTCTTAATAATTAAGGAAGCAATTCAGTGGTCCAAGGCTAACATCCATGAACAGAAAAAAATGCATCTGATTTTCCTCTCTAAGGCCGGTGAACACGGACGGGTTCCGTGAATCCTCTTCCCCATATCTCTTGGTCCACCTGATGGAAAAAGTCAGAAAAGGGAATGTGATATGATTTGAATGGATGGAGGATGAAAGTTTATGTTCCAAGTCTTCTATGATACTTCCGTTGAGAAGGATTGCTCCTTCCCACATTTCCATCCTGCAGTTTATTACAAATAGGATGATGGATTTCCTTGGGTGCTGCTGTTAGAACAATCCGGTAGAACAAACGTATTAATTATTCTCTTGCATGTTATTAGTTGTGTAAAAAGGCATCTGTTTGACACTGTTGATTGTTTAAGCTCATAGTAAAGTAATCCAATTACTGTTTATCAAATATGTAATTACAGCTGCAGCACTTATTTGGGAGTGACGTTCATTAAATACAGTAAGACTTGCTTCAGATATTATCACCATGAAAAGAGTTTCACAATAAAGCTCCAATCCTCTACATACAGCAGAAAAGCACAGTGAACAATGGGGCTTATTTCTCAAAAGGCATGTTGTAGGGTTGCAGCGAGTTGACATGATCAACCTTTTCCTTAAAAAAACCACTCACATTTTTTAAGCAGAACTAGATTGAAGGTATTTTGCATATCCTCAAAGTTGAAAACTGTTTTTGAAATTAAAAACTAAATTAAAAATGTATTAAAGAACTTAATCTTATTCATACATGAGATATCTTTCACTCGCTTGTTCCCCACCTCCTGAATCCTCAATCAATTGATTTAAAATCGGTGAATGAAAATCTTCTCCTTTGTACTTCTCCCGCACCTTGTTTATACAGTCTCTAGAATAACACTTTCTGACATATTTTGAAATTCTTCAAATATGTTAAAATGTATTACTTAATGTTAGATTTCTGCCCTTTGCCTGAGCATTTAACCAGCTTTCATCATATGGTTTCTATGAATAAGATAGAAATACAGGTTTGTATTTGACGGAGTTCACTATTTACTCTTTGTGAATACTGCAGAGCGTTCTTAGTTTGCAGTAGCACAGCTAGAGGGCTGCCTCCTATTATAGTACTAAGGAAACAGAGGGGTGGTGAGAGAGAGGCGAGTAAATGGGTGTGTGTGTATTTATATATAACTGACCCAACCTGCAGTTTCAGATTTCAGATCTAGCTTATCACCCTGCCAGTTCCTTCCAGCTTTTGGATATTCCTCTGCCTTTTTGCTGACGGATCTGTTAGGGTGAAGAAAGGAGCTGTTACCGCTTCTTTTTTCTCTTTTCCTCTTTCTTTTTTCCTTTAAGTTCTTCGGTGAAAGTTCCCAACTGTCTTTTTCCAGTCTCCACCTTTAAGTCGTCAGTCTTGATAGCAGGGATTTAACAACGAGATCTTGTACTCAAACTACGGAGGGATGCTGCTCACTTTACCTGAAGGTAAAAATATATGTTCCAATGGAGTACTTATGCTAACCTTCTTTCTAGCTTTACAAACATTGTGATAATCATTTCTCTGGGTTGAGATACAGGACTGGCAGTTTTAGTGTGCTTCTAATTAATATTTAAAACAGACCTATTCCAGTTGGTATAAAGTCTAGGAGTTGTGGAGAACATGGGAAGGGAGGAAGATGACTTCAAATACTTTTGTATAAGATTATGAGAAATTAAATTACAGATGTGTTAAATTTATGATACATGTGCTTAGGTATGAATCTTAATACACACACACACCCATTTCGTCCAGAACCTTCAATGTTATCTAGGGATAATATTGTTCCAAAATGGAATTTATGCTCAAGTTAGAAGTTAGTATCTGATTTCAAAGCTACAATTCCGTTTTATTCACTGTATAAATGCTATGTACCTTGCATGATATAAATGCCAGTTTGATGCAAATTATAAGATTATATATCTTGGTTTTGCAACACCAGGAACTAATTCCATGTATTGCTTGTACAGTAGCTTGACAATACCTATGCAACCCTTAGTTTGAAAGGGAGTGCCCTGTGATAGAGCTAAACCATTAGATGAAAGAAAGAAAAAAGAAAGAGAGAGAGAGAGAGAGAGAGAGAGAAAGAAAGAAAGAAAGAAAGAAAGAAGGAAAAAAAAGAAAGAAAGAAAGAGAAAGAAAGAAAGAAAGGAAAGAAAGAAAGAAAGAAAGAAAGAAAGAAAGAAAGAAAGAAAGAAAGAAAGAAAGAAAAAGAAAAGAAATGATGTGGTTATTTTAAAGGAATGTATGTGCTGTTGGTTACAGGTGGTCCTCTGGTTACAACAGCAACTGAGACCAGAATTTCTGTTGCCAAGCAATGTGGCTATGTAGTGCAATGTCATATCCTCAGGACAATATGGGCTTTAAAGCGGGAAGAGATGGGAGTCCCAAGAAAGTGAGAGCCATCAGTGAGAGCTGCAGGCAGAGGGACAAGGGATATTGCAGGCAGGCACTCTAGAATGCAGGCAGGTGCGTGAGGGCCAGAGGGGCTGCTGGCAGATGCTCCAGAGTGTGGGCAGATATGCAAGTGCTGCAGGGGGCTAGGGGGATTCTGTGAACTATGCTCCTAAGCACAGGAGGGCATTGCTGGGGGGGAGCACCATGGGCTCTGGAGTGCAAGTGGGCAAAAACACAGCAGAAACTGGAGCAAATTCCAACTTCCTGCTGGCTTCCCCATTGATTTTGCTTGAAGGAAACCAGCAAGGAACATTTGAAATTGTAATCCTGTGATTGTGGGGGTGTTGTGATGGCTGGAACTCCAAGGTTGTAAGTTCCCCTTGTTCAGTGCCGTTGTAATTTTGAATGGTTGCTGAGGACTACTTGTTATGTATGAATACATTTGTCTAAGGACCCTGCTGCCCTCGGGAACATAAAGAATTTTAATTTCAATCAACTCCAAGTCAGAGGTGATGGAAGCTGCATAGCATTTTGAGGTGTGGGACACAAATTCTTAATCACTATCTAGTGAGAATCAGAATGAATTTTGGAAGAAACTTTCTGGGGAAAAAGTTACTCTTAAATGTCATATCACTACTGGTACAATTAGATTGCAGTGGGGTTAGATTAAATGCCTATGATAGTTCACCTGCCTGCTCAAGATTACAGTTATCATGATATCTCATATTTCTCTCTCTCAGCATGTAGAACTTGATAGAATACCAGGGTCTATCTGCATTTCTGTCCATCTGACTGGCATAGTGCCAGGCTGATCAGGAAATGTCTCAAAGTTTGTTGCTATGTTCTATAGGTAACTTCTAGTGTTTGGAGACAATCTGTTTAATGGTCATATATTGTAGCCGTGTTGATACATAAATTTACACTTTAATCTGAATATACTGTTTGTCAGCTTTAGGAAAAAATGTTAACGATTGGGTTATTTGATAATATATCTCCAGGCCAAAGTTCAGTGAAAATGGTTCATTTCTATGGCATCCTTGATTATCTATTATGGTTGCTTATTACATTAAAAAATAATATGGTCAGCTGTGGTGTAACAGAATATTGGTCTTGAATCTAAACTGACACTCAGCTATGGAATTTAATCGGATTATTGCATCATTCTAGGCCAAATGTGGTTTGTTTGCCTTTGACTTGGTGAATTGTGGAAACACAGACACTATGGCTTGTAAACTCTAGTTTATAGCTTAGCATATTGAACTAGTAATCAGCATACTTAAATAAATCATGGCTCAGTGCAGTGTGTGAGCTCAGTACGATGATAGTATTATTTTTGCTGGGGTAAAATTGAAGATGACATATTAATATGATCTAAGGAAAGATGGAGAATAAACCTAATACATAAAATATGAAGACAGTTTATAGATTCTGTGTTTGATGCCTCCCAGAATTGATTTGATTCTCAGTTGTCTTCTTCAACTTCTTGTGTCTTACAATGCTTGCAATTCAATTGAAGATATATCCATTAAAAATAAATTTTACAATTAGTGATCCAGTTTCAGGTTTTCACTCTCTGAGAGTGAGGCCTTCTCCTGCCCTTGTGGGACTTTATATTTTGTGGAAACAGAATAGATGCAATCTAACAAAATGTAAAAACAAGGATCACTTTGTACCTGTTCCTATCACCTGCTTATAAAGAAAAACAATCTTAAGTATAATAACTTGAAGGAGCTAGCACTTCAATATTTCAAAAAATGTACCTTAATTTTCTACAATTCTATACAAATACTAAAGTTCTATAAAAATGAATTATTTTTCTATAAGGAAAGTCTTCAAACATTGCCATTTAGTAAGTATTAGTGTAAAAGATTTATGCAATCTAATCAGCTTATTGGTGTATATTTTGTGATCAATAGTGGTGATTTTTCAGATAATCACATTTGGTCCCTGAATGTGGTCATGCATTATATTTAAGACAGTATTTCAGATTTCAGTGATTCACAATCAGATCTACATCAAAGTTCAGAAAACATTTTACAGTGCATAAGAATGATTGTATCTTTGATTTTCATACTTAAATTCAGAAAAAGTTCTCTCCCTCAAGTTTCAGTTTTCACATTGCATAAGATGCTTGAATATGTGCATGCCAAATCTGCTCAGAAATTTCTATACAATTTGGGGGGTTCTAAATTAATGTACCTGGAATTCATTTTAATAAATATACTGTCTATCTATAAAGACAGCAATTTTGATCCATGAGAAAAAGATCTAAAATCCTCAGATGGATAAAATATTGAAGACAATCCAATGCAAGAGCCCACAACACTGGACAATCTTTTGAGTTTTCTTCAACATAATCCGAAGATAGAAATGATCCTGAGAAACAGTATGTGCTTTGTCGTAATAACCACATTGTACCTTTCCATACCACTTGATTGAAGCCTGTTGCATTTGTTGTTCCCATACGAATGCAGAACTACTTTATAATGAGAATACTATGTGAATTGACAGTTGCTGAGAGCTTCTTAGAAGATATAGCTGCAGTGAGAGTAAAGGACATTTACACCAGATTGTACTCCTGATTCTGTGGGCTTAATACTTCAAGTAATCTAAGTTGTATTTTTTTTTATTTTTGATAACACCAAACAGTTGGAATAATGAAAAAAACTGAAAATGTCATAAAAGCATGTTCTTTGCTGTTGTTACTTCCTTGGGGGTATTTTGCTATTGCTGTTTTCTAGTTTAGAAATAAACCTACATGAAATGAGATATGTCTTTGCAGCCAAGATTTCCAGACTGCTTTTTATAATTTGAGCTGAGTATGTCAACACTCGAGGAATACTCCTGTTTTCCCATTTTAAATAAAAGCTAAAACTTTGTTAATTGTGTTAACAGAAAACTGAATAACTCTTAGTTCCTTAGCAGCAGGAACCAATAAATATAGTCTTCCAGGTTTGGAAGTTTTGGCATCTTTCCTTTTTTAGATTCAGCGTGTGTTCAGAAGATGAAGATATTGAGTGAAAATAGTAGTTATCTCACAGATCAACATGTGCCTATTCTTATTTCTAAATAACTATTTTTTTAAAAAAAAATTAGAATCACCAGTTACCTTGGCATTTGAAAAACTGAAAAGCCGTGTCTCTTCTACAGGGCTTTGATTGACATTAATTTATCCAAGCCAAGCAATCCCTCTCATCTTATTTTAAATAAGTCTGGTTCAATTGCAATCACTTCCTTTGCTTTAATTGAGCTTGCAATTACATCTAATTTCCTTTCTGGAAAATGTTTCTTTCCCTGATATGATTACTGATTTTGTAAGCTTCATTAAGCTCCAGCAGTGCCTTACACTGAATATTGAAGAATAAAGGTATTTCAAAAAGAACCTGAATGTTTCACTGCTTGCCTGTCCTGACTGGATAATCAGTTTGCTGTTAAAAAGTATCAAAATTCTAGAAGCTGAAAACAATGTCTACAATACCGGCTTCAGAAATTGCATTTTTGTAGGGCGTGCCTATAATATAAACTGCAGGGCTTGGCACCTCTCTGAACGTTTTTTTTTATTGACAAAGAGTGGCCGGATATGATACTCTTATTCTGTAAAATCTGACTAATGCTTTATGGCTATTTGTAAACTGCAGCTTTGATCATAGTGGTGATAGTCAACAGAAGCCATTTATTATGGTAATCTAGTTTTTATATTTTATTACTTGGATTAAAGTTGCTGGCATTCACTGGAGGAAAGATGCCCATGACTTTTACCCAACTTCTTTTACCTGATGAATTGCTTGGCTTTTTCCTTCTATAGGAGCGTCTTAATAGGGAAGATACATTTCAGGATGTTAAAAGTAGAACTACTGTTCCTTTGCGAACTTCAGTTCAATTTATGCTATGATTGATTCTAACCACAAAATGACACTATGCCCCAGAACTCTCTAGACCAGGGGTCCTCAACCTTGGTAACTTTAAGACTTGCGGACTTCAACTCCCAGAATTCCTCAGCCAGCTTTGCTGGCTGAGGAATTCTGGGAGTTGAAGTCCGCAAGTCTTAAAG